TCTGAGCAGAGGTAAATAATCTTCAACTGGGCAGTTCCAACAGCTGGGGGAAGGACACACCAAGCAAGGGCCTCCCTTGTGCTCTGGGGCTTGGGGAGAGGGGAGGGAGGGACTCAGGGCACCTCCAGCTGGAGAATATCTCCTATTTCCAGTGGTCAGGCAAGGACATGGAGTGGCAGAGGGTTTTCAGGTCAGAATGTTGAACTTGAAACTTTCTCAAGCTTCCTGTGAGATGAGAGCTAAACACAGACTTTTGGAGCAGGTCTGTAGCTCAGCTGGTTCCTTTGCCCTTCTAATCAACCCCTGGGGGGGTTTTCCTTCCATTTTCAGCACCAGAAACAACCAAGTCACCACCCACCACCCCCAACTCCATGCCCACAGTCCGGAGCAGCTCCCTCTTCGTGGCTGTGCTCCAGCTGCCCCTGCTCCTGGCCACGGGCAAACTGCTCTCCTAGAAGCCAGAAGAGAAGATGGCCCGGGCTGTGCTGCCCTTTCCCCTCCCTGGGAGTGGCAGGGCAGGCAGCTGATCTGCTCAGGAGATCTCTCTGTGTGTTGGGATGGTAACTGCACTTCCACATTCGATGATGAAGGTCTGTTTGACTGATCCTCCCCCTCACTCCCCTCGCCCAGGGCCAGCAGTCTCAGCCAGGTGAGATGTTCCAGAGCAGGGCAGAGCCCCCTCTGGCCTGGATTTTCAGCCAGAGAAGCACAACACGGGCAAGGGCAGCTCCTGTGCCACCAGGGCCACTGCAGGGATCAACCAGCACCTTCCTCACCCCCTGGGATTCCGTGAAGCACAAACCAGCACACCTGGAGAGGAGACAGGCCCTCTTCTCCTCAGGGCACCAGGGCTGCTGAGAAGCTCCAGGAAGGGGGAAGCAGAACTGAGCCTGGGAAGGGAAATTCTGGGTTTAGGATTTCACGTCTCAGCCAGTTCAAAGCCTCTGGAGGAGACCCCTCGCCAGGACAAGCTGGAGATCCTGCTGGCAGGGCATCCTCCAGAAAGACCCAGCCCTTGGGAATCTATGCTCCACATTTGGTCCAGCATCCCCTAAATTTTTTATTTCAGTGGATGACATAAATTTTTCTCTGTTTTTTTTCTTTTTTTTTTTTTCTCCTGGCTTTCTGGAATGGCAGGGTGGGTGTTTTTTGTTCTTGGTTTTTTTTTTAATCAAACAGCTGATTTTGCTCTAGGGCAAGACTGTAAAGGCCACTGAATGTCTTGGGTTTATTGTTATTGTTTGTATTTTTATATGGATAATGTTTATTGGGAAATTTTCAAACTCACGGAAAGCAATTTGTTTCTTTAACTGATCTAAATAAATTAAGGAATGAAGGTTGGTTCTTGCACCTTCCATTATTTCCTGGCTCCACGTGAAGGGGGTGGGGGAGGTTGAAATGATTCTGATACTGTGAAATATTTGGCTTTGTTCCCATAGATGCACATGAAGAAACAAATAAAGGTGAGGCCTGTCTCTGCTGAACAAATACTGGAATAAATTCTGACTCCCAGGCTGTGGAAGGTTTACTCCTGAGCACTGAGAGCTTGGCAGTAAAGCAGCCTGAAAGCTTCACCCAGGAGCTGGGCACCCCAGGAAATCATTGCCCCTGACCATCTGTGCTTCTCAGACATCAAGTGTGGATTAAGAGGGATATTTTTTTTTTCTAATTCCTACAGAATTGTCTGAACAGCTGAAACCAAAAGATTCAGACCTGCTCAGGCTGCTTTTGCTTTAAAGTGGGAGCACCTCACTCAACCCTGCTGCTTGTTCAGATTGTCTCTCATCTCCAAAAGCCTCGGTTTACACCCAAAAATTAAAGCTGTTCCTCCCTCTCACACCCTCGGGGTTCTCAGTGCAGGTGGAAATTTCACTTGTTTCAGGCAGATTTCCACCCGTTTTCCCCTGTGCTGATGGGTTGGTGAAGCCAGAAGTCCCAGGCACGATTCCCCAGCTGGAATTTCAACACTGGTGGGATGTTTCTGCAGAATTTAGGAGGAATAAAGTTTTAGGGGCCAGCCATTAAAACTGGCATCTGTTTAGCAGGGAGGGTAATGAGCAGAGATAGGGATATGGTTTATCTGCTGCTACTGCCGTGCACAACACACAATAAAATCCTAATTAGTGCTGTAAATTACTGCTCAATTTCAATCTCACTGTTGATCCATCTATCTCCCAAGATTACAGCCGTGGATAATACATATGAGATTACTTTGAAATATCTTTGTGGCAACTCCCATTTACCAGATTATCTGTGAGCTCAGGGCATGCAGAGATGCTCCAGGGAGGGGACTCCTGCTGCTTTGTCCCATTGCTGAGCCTCATCAGTGGCCTTTTCATTAACTTCTCCGCTGTTCAGCAGCAAATATGAACATTTCCTTTTACAGCCCTGTCTAATTTCCCTGCTAAAAGCTTATTTCACCAACATCACCAGGAAAAGGAGTGCAAAAGGGAACGAGTTGTAACTGGGAATCTGAAGCCAACATATGGAAACTCTCTGGCTTCAGCAGGAAGGGGAATGAGAGCAGGGCCTGCAACTCCCAAGAAGCACAAATCAGTCAAAAAGGCATTGCTGAGACTAAAACCTGTGAGAATAAAAAATGGGAATGGAATCTGACAGGGACTTCCCCGCCTGCAGAGGCAGAGAAGTGGCTCTGAGATCTTCCAGCCGAGCTCTGCAGCCCAATTCCTCAGGCCACATCCATGAAATCCTGAGTACAGCACGAGCACAAAGCTGTTACTGGAAGTCCTGACTCTAAAACATTGATTAATCATTAATAGGGGGATGACAGATGGGCACAGCTCTATTAAAAATGTGTCCACCCTTCCACCGGCTGCCTGAAGTTTTTATAGCCCCTGTGCTACCCTCGCTGATGCAAACCACCCCAAAAAGGCAGCAGGATGACCCCAAGCTTTTGGACTACAGATTTGCCCTCTCCTTAACATGAAACCCCGGGTACCAGAGGAGGAGGAAGGGCATTGCTGCCCCTGGCAGCCACACAGAAACCAGGACTGAATTTTCTGAATTTGCACCGCAGCCATCGGTGCATTCACAGGTATTTAAATGTTCCTTTCAGGGCAGGCCCTGAGTGTCCCAAAGAGTGTGAACAACAGCAGTGAGTGAATAAAAAACAAACCCAGCCCTGGCACAGCTCAAGCCTGTTCTCCCTGCCATCCTAACGACTGCCAGGCACCCACACCCACTCCAATAAAAGGAACACTGGAGTGGGCAGAGCACACAGACACCTGGGATCTCTGGAGCCAGGGCTTTGCCATAAACCAGCAGGGCTGTGATCACACCCTCCTCCCTCCCTGAGCACACAGGGCAAATCAGTGCTCAGTGCAGGGAGAGAGCCACAAAATGCTCCTTAACCTCCTCCCCTCCCCACTCCTGCTCTCTTCACTATCACTTTTCCTGTGCCCTTATGTTCTGCTTCCACTTGGCCTCCCCACTGCACACGGGAATGGATGGCAATTAGAGCCAGGGATGGAGCAAACACCCCAAAGAGCTTTAAAGCACAGTTTGGTAATTGCTGGATGGACTGAACGGTGTCTGCAGGAGGAGGGGACTGTGCTGGAGCATCCCTGGGCTTCCCCTGCCTCTGCTCTGTAAGCAGGAGAAGGGACAGAATACACTGTAATTTCAGTGACAATTCCAGCCCTGACATGTCCAACCCTTCCACCCAAGCCACCACCCGGTCAAACAGTTTATTTCCATCTCCCCAGATCTGCTGATGTTTAAATCAGAGAGATCAGAAGAGTTTGCATGAGGAGATCTCCAGTGTGCACACAGCAATAAATACAAATACCCAGGCTATGGTGGGACTTTGTCAGGGCTTTGTTGCACTGGAAAAGAACAGGAATTTGGGCTATTTGTTCCTGGCCTAGCCCCTCACTCCATGCCAGCAACAGCACTGGGCTGTGCTACACAGATGTAACCATTTGTTTGCTTGGGGTTTTTTTTGTCAACAGCTGAATCTCTCCTCTCATAAAGGCACCACATGATATGTCCTGCTCTTCATGACTCACTGAAGACACCAAATGCTCTGTGAATCACCATCAGCAGCTGTCATCCACTCTGGTTTACATCATCTCAGCAAACCACGGTGACACCACACCAGAGAGCAGCAGGAGGGGTCAGAGCAGCTGCAAAACCCCCCATGCCAGAGCCCAACTGAAAAAAAACCTGAGTGGTTTCACACCTGGGGGAAAAAGAGGGGAGAGGGGGGCCAGAGTGTCACCAGTGTCACCCTTTGTCTGCTGCGCTGGGCACTCCCTGCAGTGAACCTGCAGCCAACTGTTCACCAAAGCACCACCTTTAGGAAGGGGGAAAACCCCAGTGCTGGAGCTGCCATGGCAGAGGGTTTGCCCTGCCAAAGGGGGAAGGCTGGAATATCCCTCATCTCCAGCCCTTTCTTGCTCTTCCCTTTTTGAGGCTCGTCCAGGAAATCTTTGAGCAAAAGGTGACTCAAGGCAGGAGACAGCCCAGACCTGTCCTCCTGTAAAGTTTAAAAAAGTTAAAAAAAGGGGGGGAAAAAAAGGCAAGCCAAGTATTTCTTGGAAGTGTAAAATCCCACTTTCCAGCAGAACTGGTGGTTGCAGAAGGACACTCTCCCCTCAGCCTGCAGCAGAGTGTGGCAAGGTTAACTATTAGGCAAGCTTCATTAAACATTTCTAAATGCTGCTGCTTGCTCCCATTATTCAAATGCCTCATTTCCTTGTAAAGCAAGGGAATTACTGCCCTGGATGTCATTTTTTTTTTAAATTATGTGCATTAAGTTATTCTTCATGGCCATACCTAATCACTCCTCAGGATGTTGCCCATGTGGTGAAGAGAATCACACACAGCACAGTCACTTCTGCCCACAACACAGGAAATATGGAGATAAGAAATAAAAAGATAATCAGATAGTCCTCATTCTCAAAAATGCTTCTCTATTTCATCAAGAGGCAAAACAACACCAAAGCCCACGTTATTAAATATAATAAATTAATTCAACGTTTAATTAGAGAAAAATCAAAGCTTTTTGAGACTGGACATGACATACATTTTGCCAAAATATCATTTTGCTGAAAAGCTGCTTTATTGAACAGTTACAGTTACAGATTTCACATCAGCCTGGTGGTTTGGGTTTGCAAGACATCTGGAGACGAGATGAACAGACTCTGGGAAGCAGAGGGGCTGGACTGCTGCAGGAATTCTGGGGTGTTTGTGCTCACACAACACAGGACCAAGGCCTTGGTGCGTGAATCACAATGAGCAGGGTGGAAATAACCCACTGCTCTGATCCTGTGGCACAGTCTGTGACCAGCTGAGCTGAGGCTCTCATTTCAGTCCCCAGCCTTTGCCTCTTCCCCTTTGTAAACCACGACGTTGTGGTCGGTCTCGTGCACCTTCACCTTGTAGAGGCTGCCCGGGGGCAGGAGCCTCTGCAGGCTCTCCCAGATGAACACGGCCACGTTCTCTGTGGTGCTGAGGGGACACGGGGGGACACTCAGAGCCCACCTGGGGGGGCACCTGGGGATGCAGGGCCGAGCCCTGGGGACCGTTGAGTGCCCGGGACCCACCTCACCACCTCGGCGAAGAACGGCACGTCCTTGTCCAGGTTTTTGTGGTCCAGCGGTTCCATGACGGCCTCCTGCAGAGAGAGGAGTGAGAGCCCCGTCCCAGCTGCTCAGTGGGCCTGGGGGGTCAAACAACCATGCACAAAGCACTGGAAGGTATGCACAAAAAAAGGGGGTCAGAGCCCTGCATCCAGCGGGGAAATTGCTGGCTGGAGATGTGGCACTGCTGGAGCATTTTAGTCTTGAACCGCTCCTTAATTTCTTCTTTATCTCCTGCCATCATCAACCAGTTCTCCCAGGGGACGTGTAGGAAAGCAGTGCCATTACCTGCATGTATTCCTTCAGGTCTGTCAGGTTCATAACCATTCCTGAGACTGGGTCAATCTGCAGGGAAACCGAAAGGGAGATCAGCAGCCTGGCCACACAGCCTTACTGCCTGCACAAATCACACAGAAATAGCTGTGCTCAGGTCATCAATAACTTTCTACTGTCACAGAGTTCCAGCTCTACCCCTGTGACAGTCCCAAAGGCTTGTGAGAGCCTACAAACAACTCCAGTGGTTCCACCCTCTCACAAAAGCTGATTGCAGGGAGAAACAATTCACTGGAAGAGTCTTCAGGCAACAATCTGGAGTGATGATAAGGAGGAAAACAGGCATTAAACTGCTCTGTTGAACAAGCAGGGACAAAAGAGAGCCCAGTCTGAGCTCAGGGCATTCTCCCTTCCAGAGGCAAGGTGGACAGGACAGTGATTATGGAAAACCTCAGAAGAGAAAAACAATGCTGATTGCACTTACCTCTCCACGCACCGTGACTGTCACTGCAAACAGAGAGAGCATCAGGTCACCAGGGGACCAGCAACCCCAACCCCAGCCTGCTGCTCGTGGGGACAGCCAGCCCCACGCACTGCTCACCCCCAGGGGCTGCTGCAGGGGTCACTCCAGCACCCTGTAGCTTATCTTCCCTGGCAAAGCAGGTAGCAGAGGTTTTGGGGCACCTACAACACAAGGAACCAGTCTAGGAACTGGGGGCATCTAATTCTATGTGCTCAGGGTGCAGGGAGGAGGAGCAGGACTTGTGAAAACAGCATTCAAATAACGTTTGCAGGCTGTTTAATTTGCATGTCTTTTTGCTTAGAAAAATCCTCATTCAAATCACGACGATTTCGCGGAGTGTAAACAAGTAGATTTGATTTATGAAGTGACACTCTGAGATAAATATTTATTATCTACTCAACTGAATATACTGCAAAGCTATTCTTCACCCCCCTGCTGCTGAGGTTTCCTTCTAATTCCTAAAAAGACACAAAACTGGCCACTAACAACTATCAGACTGAGACACGAGTGGCCCAGCTCTCCCGTGGGTTATTCTCAACCTGAGAGCAGCCTCTGCCCCTCACCACAGAAGAGAGGATGGAAGTCAACTCCTCACCTTTGTAGTTGTGTCCATGGCCATTTGGGTTGTTGCATTTCCCAAACAGCTTCAGGTTTTCTTCATCACTCAGTGATTTACTGCGAGAGAGACAGACATGGCACGTCAGGGTCCATTCCAGCTGCTCGTGGCTTCACTTCAGCCCCCATTGCTCTTCAGCTCTCCATCTATTCCCTCTCCCAAATTTAACCCACCAGTTTTTCCTGCTCCAAAAAAACAGAAGGAAACCCCACCACCAGAATAGTATTTGGCCCATATTGTTGAAAACAACATGAGGGGTTTTTGCTGTGTTCTTTCATCTGTTTCATAACATCTGCCAAACTGCTGTAAATATTCAAGTCACAGGAACACAGAACATGCCCAGTTGGAAGAGACCCACAAGGATCATCGAGTCCAACCCTTAGGCCTGCACAGGCCCATCCCCAAGAGTCACAGCGTGTTCCTGAGAGCATCATCCAAACCCTCCTCGAGCTCTGGCAGAGGCGCTCTTTAGGAACATACACATTTCGAGGGGAAAAAAAGAACCCCAGCAGACGAGGGGGGATGTTTACAAACTGGGAGATGTTTACATACTGGGAGAGGTTTACAAACTGGGAGAGGTTTACAAACTGGGAGAAGTTTACAAACTACGAGATGTTTACAAACTGCGAGAGCCACCGTCGTGTCAGAACAAAGAACTCCAGTCCTCGCTAATCCCAGCCGGGCACCGACGGGCGCGATCCGGGAAGGGGCTGAGCCGAGAAGAGCCCGGTTCTGCCGGGCGCTACCGCGGGCTTTGGGGCGGCTTTGGAGGCTCCTGCCAGAGCAGGGGAGCGGGGCCGAGCCGGGGCCGCTCACCTGTGCAGGCGGTGGCAGGCGCTGAAGGTGACGGAGCGCGACAGCCGCGCCAGGCGGGCGGAGCGCGGCGACATCGCGGGGCTGCACCGGGGCTGCACCGGGGCTGGATCCGGGGGTGGAACGGGGCGGGAACGGGGCTGGACTGGGGCTGGACCGGGGCGGGAACGGGGCTGGACCCGGGCGGCTCCATCCCGGCCCCTGGGGCGGGGCGGGAGCGGCGGCACCGCCCGCGGGACCCGCCCGCCGAGCGCCGGGGATGCTCCGCGTCCCGGGGATGCTCCGAGCGCCGGGGATGCTCCGAGCGCCGAGGATGCTCCGGGTCCCGAGGATGCTCCGGGTCCCGGGGATGCTCCGAGCGCCGGGGATGCTCCGGGTCCCGAGGATGCTCCGAGCGCCGGGGATGCTCCGCGTCCCGAGGATGCTCCGGGTCCGGGGATGCTCCGGGTCCCGGGGATGCTCCGGGTCCCGGGGATGCTCCGAGCGCCGAGGATGCTCCGGGTCCCGGGGACGCTCCGAGCCCGGGGATGCTCCGGGTCCCGAGGGTGCCCTCAGGGCTCAGCCCCCACTCTGCCCCCCGATCTCTTCCCCTCGGTGCCTGCCCGCGGCCCGGTGATACAAAGAATCATGGAATTCTCCGCCCAACCCGGCCTCGGACACTGCCAGGGATGGGGCATCCGCAGCCTCCCCGGGCAGCCTGTGCCAGCTCTGGCTGGTTGCAGTTAGCACAAGGTTGTACACGAAGCTCTGACGCCTCCTTTCCGCTTCCCACCTCACCGAGAAAAAAAATAAAAGAGTTTAAAAGGAGCAGCGGTGGTGCCTGAGCTCCATGAAACACTTTCTTGGCGCCGTTCTGCTGCCAGTGCTGGGCGTGTGGCCTCGCTGGGGGCTGTTCCCTGCCCCGTGGGTGACAGGATACGGCTGGGCGGTTCCACTGGTGACATGGCAGGTGACACAGAGAGGAGGGAGGAGGACGGCAGGGCTGCAGCACCATCAACGGGAGGTGTTTGCCATCTAGTGGCTTTGCCCAGCTCTGGCCTGAGCCTCCCTCTGCCTCTCCCAGGGCAGCAGCCCTGGGGTACAACCCTTTTTCTTTCCCTTGCCTTTAGGAAGGTGAAGAAACGTCAGAAGAGATAAAGCCCCTGCAGCACAAGAGCTCATACTGTGCTCAAGGAAAATGGTTCAAACCGTTCTCTGGGCTTCTCACAGTGAAGAAATACAAGAAGTCTTTAAGCCAGGAGGGGCATCCAGTCCCCTGAAGTCTTCCCTCTTCACAGGGTACTTACAGGCAGAGCCAGCACAGGGCTGCCCCTGGCACACCTACCCATCTACAACAGCTGGAGCAGCCTGGATGAGAGCTGGAATTTGATCTGCTCTACTTACAACCAAAGGGATGTCAAGGCCATCCAACAGTGGAGTTGTACCTGTTTCATACTGGTTGAACTGGGAGGAGGGCAGGACCTGTGAGCCATCAGAGCCATCCAGCTCTGCTGTTTAAGCAGGAGAGTGGTGGAGATGTGTCATGCGTGTCACCACGTGAGGGCAGGGAAAGAGAGGATGAAACTTCACCACGTTTTATTTGAGGGCACTGCCAGTGTACAGAGAAAAGCACAAGTACAGCTCCTGTGAGCATCTGCATCTACCTCCTGGAGTCCACTGAAGGCAACCTGTATGCAGTGGGGGTGGAATTACACCCCTTCATTGGGCCCACCTGTTGCAGGCTGATTTTACATCTTCTCTTCTGCTTTCAGCCAAAGTCACTGCCCCGAGCACCAGTGTTCTCTCCCCTTCACAGCACACTGCTGCCAAAGAAGATTTCCTCTTCCTCCCTTGCAAGCCATGCCAGCATGGCATCCTTTGTGAACTGCTGCTAGGTGGTCTATCAAAATAGTGAAAAAATTAAGATAAAGCAGTGGGCTGCTGAATGAAGGAGCTTCTGCCTCCCTCATGCCCTTGGCTGGATATTGTGAGGAAAAAAGGAGTAATTCAGAGATTATGGTAGAGAAAAGCAGTTCCCTCATCCCAGACATAATGCAAAAGTGGAAGGTAGAAGCAGCAGAGGTTTCTTTCTGAGCCTGGCTTGGCCCTGAGTTACAGGAGGTGACAAGGAGTGGGGTCAGTGGGGAGTGAAGATGCCGTGGAATCCGTAAGGCATTTGCACCGGGACTTCTGCTCGCCCCAGCTCTCTGAAGGTCTCTGCATCCAGGACAAGCAGGAAAGCACTTCGGTTCTGCAGGAGGAAAAGAAAGCCAGAGTGAATGTGCAGGCTGAGCCTGGTTTCACTATCCAGCCTGTTGCACACAAGGGAGCCCAAATGTCCAGCCAGGCCACGCAGATCAAGCCTGTCAGACAGCTGGCCAGGAGCACTGGCAGTCACAGGAGCCACTCAAGAAGCACTGACATTTCAAGGAACACTCCTGAGGAGCAAGGAGCTATCTGCCAGAGAGCCTCCAGCTGGGTTCTGTGGTTTAAAAAGTTAACTAATGCTTTGTGACTTTGACAAACTACCAACAGTGAGTTACCTCAGCGGGGGAGACCACAACAGACAAGATGACTCCACTGTCCTCTGCTGTGGCATTAGGCACTGGCACAAACACAGGCTCTGATGGGTAGGATGCATCCTCCTGCCAAATCTAGCAAGCACAGGGACATACGGATGAGTTTCATTTCATTAATACTTGTCTGCTACAGTTAGCAGAGCTGCAAGTTAAAGAGTGCTCCCCACAAAGACACCCAGGCACACTCTGTGCTCAAAGAAACTCAGAGTTCAACCTCTGAATTAATCCTTTGGATTCCAGCAGTATGATGGTGCCATCCTCTCCTGCTTGGTGAGTCTCATTCACGGGGTGAGTGAGAGATGAAATTAGGAATCTCATCCCAGACCCACCTGGACAAAGACCCCCCAAAGCCCCTAGTATTTTCATATTTTCAAAGCCAGTTCAGTGGAACTGAAGGAGGATAATCTGGACTTCCAATTCACCTTGAAATTCTTGGTCTCCACATCAACCTTCATCAGGGAATCTCCGACCAAATGCCCGAATCCACACCCGTAGAAGTACCGGTACCTCCTCCCGTTGCACCGAGAGTAGTTGATCTGGGGGAACTCCAAACCCCCGACCTTTTCAAAGCCCTCAGGGTGCAGATTTTCATGTGTGCACCAGACCTAGAAAAAAACATGCATTGCACAGGTGTTGGTTTAGTTCTGACAGGGCAGAAGACCTGACTGGTCCCACAGCCACTGCGGGGAAGAAATGTTCTGGGAATGGGGAAGGAAAAGACCTGGGAAGACAACGGCACAGGATGACAACTGTTGCAGGCCACCTCCCCACAGTTATGTAGGTCTTGCATACACACCTTTCCATCTGCATCCTTCACAGCCCTTGCCAGGGTGTAAGGCAGTGGGTTCAGGTTTTTGCCCACGGGTGTGTCTGGATCCACGTGCAGAGGGAGCACAAAGCGGCGAGGGAAAGCTCGGGGCAGTGAGGCATAAACCTGGTACAGAGACAGCCAGTCATGTGCAAGGAGAGAGGAGAGACACTGCAGGCTAAAAGCATGTCTGGGGAACAATTCTGAAGTTGGAGACATTCCTCCTACCCCTAAAATCACTGTGTTCTTTCTGCTCTGTTTTCCCCAGTTCTGGTGAGGTAAAACACATCACAGAAAGAAGTTCTCTGCACCTTCCAGTAGTAGAGTAGAAAACAAAAAGACAAGCAATTGAAAGGGTCAGCATTGCTTTCACAGGGTTAGTTAATTAATTAATATTGAGTTGGGTATGCAAATCCCTCTGTTATCTTCCAGATTCAGCGTGGGGACACACACTGCACCATATTTAGTTAGAACACTTACATTGCTCTCCATCACTCTCTGGGTAAGTCTCCTTCTCCTCCAGATGGTAAGGCAAGCAGGAGACTGCTGCACCTCAGTTCAATGCCTGAAGTTATCCTGCAGGATTTCCCCTTCCATACTCAGGTACACATGGATTCATGTTTGGGAGTCCAGGGGAATGATGGAGGTACTTGGGCAGCAAAGGGAAGAGCAAACCAGCAGCCCCCCAGTGTGACAGCCAGCCAGTGGGTTGCAGGAGAGGAATGATTCCACCACTGCCACTGAAGTTCTGTCCAAGCCAAGTTTAGAACCCATCACATTCCCATATATTAAGCCTTTTAAATAAAACAGGTGACAAGGACCCTACTTTGGTGGTTTTCGGTTACTTCAGTCCGTAACTCACCCGTTCAACGTGACACTTCACTTGAATCATAACTTGAATCCTGAAACCCTATTTTCAAAGCTTTTATGGTTCATGTAACCCCAGTAATCTGGCTGAGGAACTCTGCCAGATCAAGTATGGTTTAGTGAGCAAGCAAAAGCACTTAAGCCTGGCTCGGGGACAAGAGACAAGTCATGCTCAGTCACGCCTTGGCTTTCTGAGGAGCCGCAGGTTTGAGACTCTGTTCTGAAATGACTTGCACTCCCCTCTGTGTGTGTGTGTGTACAGTTTAATGGTTATGTGCTTGTCAGTTAGAGAGCGTGGGTGCTGGAAGCACAAGCCTAGTGCTGACACAAGGACACCTTCAGCCAGGTCCAATCCTGGCTCAGAGAAGGAGGGACAAGAGCTGGGATCGGCGTGCGAAGCGCGCGGTCGCATCAACGCTCTGCTGTTCTCCTGGCCAAAACATACTCGAGAGAAACCAACCAAACAGAGGAAAGCAGAACCAAATGACCTGGCAGGAAGACAGCTGTAGTGTTCTCAGGTCAGATCTGACTGGGTTCTTCTGGGCAGCTCGGGAGGAAGCTCAGACCTGCCTGGACATGCAGCAGTGCTGCCCGTGCCCCACAGCACGGTGGGTTTCCAATAAACTCATCTGCAGGGCAAGAAATGAAAGCACCCCCACCTCCCCCTATGCAAAACAGTGCCTCTACCACGGCCTCAGATGGTGCTTGTGACAGAGCTGGATGAAGTAAGTGATTTATTAGAACGTGCTGTTGTGAGGGGGCTGTGAGGAACAACGCTGGGGTTTCCCTGGTGGTTGTGCTTCTGTGATTTTCCTAATCAGTGACACTTCTCTGAGGTAATGCCTTTAAAGAACAGGGTTCCTTTCTCCCTTTTTCAAAGCCATGCAAAAACTTGCTCTGCGTTAATTTCTTGGGG